CTGCCAGTGACAAGCTCTAAAGCAAGAATAACAAATAAGAGATTCTAACTGCACCTACCGTTATAATACATCTACTACTTCTCATTTGTCCTGTGAGAACTGCATATCTCAAATATTCCACTTTTTATGAGCTCAGAAAAACAATTCAGTCAACAGCTTTGTGATGATGCCTTTTCCAGCTGATCCAAACGAGGATTTTAAATGGTTTATTGAGCTTAATTAGTGCGAGAATTGGCAAAAGGAACAATTTATCCTTCAGTTTATCACAAACAAAACCAATCAAACAAAATCTGAATCACCAAATCTAGAGCAATGATCTTTTCACTGTGCATGAAGGGTAAGACAAAACTCATCTGAAAAGTAAATATAGAAAAATGTAGGGAAGTAAAAAGTACAATGTGTGTCTCTGAGATGTAGTGGCGTAGTATGAAGTGGCATAAAAGGGACATTTGTAAAAAAATGCACTTTCATTCTACCACTGGCTTCTGTTGATACCATTCAGTTATCTTTCTGCTTCCTTATATGGGAAGTTTCCCTCTAACTGTAAAGTGCAGATAGCATTATTATTAATGTGGAAAAGAGGGAGGCTTTTCATGGTAATGGTGCATTATCTTTTCATGGCAGGTTATTTTCTCAGCTGCCTCAAAATGATGGAATATACATAAACAAGAAAACCAGAAGCATTATCTCTCCTGACATACTCCGCACACTCTCCTGGGACCTATGAAAAATGTAGGAGGAAGAACTGCATCCTGGGTCTATTTTCTTACACAAATTAGAAGTGTTTGGAAGGAAATCATTGAGTGGTTTAAGTAATGTTTTGACATCCAAGCAAACCTTTTGAAAGTGAATACAGGTAGGCAGTGAACCTGTATTTGTTAACATGGCCGCGGGGCAAATGAAGAGGGCGAATCAGTATCAGCTGCAGCAGATGCACGGAGGAAATTGAGTCGTTTGAAAACCCGCAGCCAGTTAATCTGTTAATCAGGATTGGTGCTAGAAGAGGAGATCCAATCTTCAGTAACAGGAAGTGCGGTAGACCCCCAGACCCAACCTTTGAAGAGAAACATGGGGCGGGGGCTTCAATAATCTCCCAATTATCTGATCTATCTCCAAATAATATCCCAGCAATGTAGACAGTGCAGTATTTAGACCCCGCTTTAACGAAATTAAGGAAGGGAGTCAACGGAAATCTGGTTAAGCTCAATATCACTTTGTAATTAGAAAGGCATGACATTTCTTTTTCTGATGCCTTATCCGTCACAGGGATGATTGGATTAATTTATGGTTAAGAACATAATTAAAGGATGAGGTCAAGCGAGTTCACGTACAGTAAAGTTAATTATAATAAAGCAGGAAAAGTCAAGTCAATCAGGCTTTATTCCCCTCATTTTACTTAAAAACCTGAAAGGTCCCATGTCATGGCCATTTCTACTGATCATAATTCCATTGTTGAGTTATACTAAAATAGATTTATACTGTGCAATTTTCCAAACTCACATTGGTTTCTCTGTAAAGTATGTGTATTCACCGGTATTCACTCTCTGTCCTAAAGGACTTGTTGGAGCTCCTGCCACCCCCTCCCTGTGAGCCCAGTGTGCTCTGATTGGTCGGGAAGTTGTGAGGCTCGTTGCTGCGATCTGCTGCGAGGAGCAAACAGCCTTCCGGGTCGGCGATACAGCGAGAACAAGCGAAACTCATCCTGAGCACACACAAACACTCACAGCCGAAGTAAAAACAATAAGTGTGGCTTGATATTGAGTAAGAAAAAGGTTTATAACGCTGTAAGCATGGGTCTGCGGAAAGCATTTCTCCGCGATCCCAACGTAGCAGCGCGAAAAACGTTTACCCATTTAAATCGTTGTAGATACCTTGTTTGTTTTAAACATCATAAATACACAAACAAAAATGAATACTTGCAGGTTGTGTACCCGAATCTCCCGCTGGTCCAAACAAAGTAGGAACAGCATCGTTCTTCAGTGCCCTACGCTGTACATATCCGGCATGAATCGCTGAAAGGTTTGGGAAGCTTTGTTTCGTGAAAGGCTGGCAGAGGGTGTGGCCTCTGGGTATTCACACGTCACAGTACCCAGGAAGTAAACAATGGAAAATGAGAAATCTCCAACGAGGCGTTTTGGGGCAGCATAGACTGTGTTAGAGTTGTACTCGGTGTACTTTGAGGGTTTTTGACTCTGCAGACCGTTCACATGCATAAAAACCTTCATAACACACAAGGGGACAGTAATAACCGGAAAAGCATGACATGGGCCCTTTAAGTAGGAAATAAACACATTTGAGCGATCATTTATTCTAATGATCAGATAGAGAAATTCATTTGAATTGAATCCTCAGAGATTCATGGCGGAGATGTGTTTGCTTTTATTGAGCTTCATTAGCTGCCGTGTCCCAACAGATACATTAAGCAATTCTCACATCCCAATTCACACACATGGTTAAATCTACAAAAACAATTGCTGCAGGGTTAGAAATGGTGTTTAACATAAACACATAACCAGAGGTAAAATGTAATATTCATAATTTATGTTGAAATAATCTATTACATGTAAAAGTCCTACATTCAAATTCTTATATGACTATTATCAACAAAATGTTCTGAAGGGGCCATTGTGCTTATTTCCAGGGTCATATCAGTATGTAGTGTCTCTACTGGGACATGTCTCCATGCTTTAATGTTCAAAAAGCTCTTTATTTCTCTCATACTGCCTGTGCTGCAGCACCTCTTTTCACCCTCTGTCTGAAACCAGAGCCCAGTCTGCTCTGATTGGTTAGCTGGCCGGCTCTGTTGTGATTGGCCAACCGCTTAGAGATGTCCCGCCCCTTAGCCTATAGTACAATGTGTTGGAGTGCTAGCCAATAGAAGCGTGACATACATAGTAGGGGTGTAACGGTTCACAAACATTTCGGTTCGGTAGTACCTCGGTTTTTTGGTCACGGTTCGGTTCGGTACGTTTTCGGTACAGCAGAATTTTTTTTTCACAAAACAAAACAAGCTTGTAATAGCTTTGGCTCGGTCTGAACTTTCTGCGAGTGGTGGAGGCTTAATGCTAGTGGGAGTTGGGTTTGCACTTCAGTCTTTTGGTACCGGTGATATTCACGTTCGGGTGATGCCTTTTCAAGAGTGTGCAAGTTTGATGTATTGCCAGCCGCGTAACCAATTTTAGTTGAACAATGCCGACAAACAGCTTTGGTTCGGTCCACCTGTCTTTGTCCTTCATCCTTGTACGTAACTGCGAAACCAAAATGTTCCCAAACCGGAGACTTCAATGATGCTGGAGGATTTTCGAGCTCAACTTTATCTGCGTTCGCCATTAATTTTCGACAGTTCCTCAAATTACTGACTACATTTGAACGCATCCCTCTGACCAGCTCTCATAGTATGCCTCTCATCCAATGAAATGACTTGCTCGCTCTATGACGCGTTGAACCCAATGTGAGCAAATTACTCTGAATGCTGCGACGCAGCACCTGAGATTACTTCCAAAAAGTTGTCACGTTCTCAATTTTTTACGTTTAACGTTATATTCGTTTGGTACACTTCAGTACACACCTGTACCGAACCGAAGGGCCCGTACCGAATAATTTCGGTACGGGTACGTGTACCGTTACACCCCTAATACATAGTGATGGGAGAGAAACTCCCTCTGGAGGAAACACAGGGATTTTAGTCTTTGCAGTCCATTTGCATGCACAAAAACCTAAGTAACAAACTATAGGAAAGAATAAACCCCCCAAAAATATAATAGGGTGTTTATTGCTCTTATTTTTTATTTGTTGTAAAGCACTTTGAATTGCCTCGTCTTGCCTTGCCTGTAGAGTATATGCATGGAAAGTATTGCAAATGTTATTTCTCCTGGGAAAATGTTATATAACCACCAGGAAAACCACTCATGCCAACTCATTTGCATTTTGAATTTACTTTAGGTGAGGGTATCTAACTGGTTTTTATTTTAATAATGTGTTTTTGCCTCTTTAGTTAATGTTTTCTACTGTTTTAGTTTTTGCCTTTTATCTGCACTTTTTGATATTGTGACGCTGTAAATGTCCCCGCTGTATGAGGAATAAAGGATTTCTAATTCTGAAAACACACTTATATAAACGTAAGTTGTTACTTGTAATAGAGTGTATTTACAGTGTGGTGGTAGTAAGGCAAGGCAAGTGTATTTATATAGCACCTTTCAACACAAGGCAATTCAAAGTGCTTTACAAAAATGAAAGACATTAAGTTGTAGTAGTAAAATATGAATACTTCTTCCACCACTATACATACATACTGTATACCAAGTTTGTTTTCACCTACAGCCTCACAACTGTCTCCCCCGTCTCTCTGTGGTTGTTTCTCTCGTTCACTCACACGGTTAAACCCCCATCATTACAGGTTGTAAACACTCGGAGCGATGAGGGATCGTCGGTGGGAGTGGCAAAGACCTGGCAAGTCACAGGTGGTTCAACTCAGGGAAGACTTGATCACAGGAGACATGTTGACCTGCAGGGACCAGCTGAGTCAGTCAAACTGGGAGAAAAACAAGCCCAGTGGTTGTTAGGTTTCCTTCTGTTTGTTTGTGCACACTCAGAGAAGATGTGGGGGAGGTATATAGTCAGGAGGGGGGGGGGGGGGGGGGGGGGGGGGGGGTGTTGTTTAGGGAGGTGATGGAGGGGCTTGTTAGGCTCTGGTTAGCAATTACATGTGACTTAGTTTTTGAGCATATGTGATGCAATGATCACCTGAGGGACTGAATGTGATTCATTAAGTCCTGGCACATAGTTAACATTGCACATAATACATGTTCATGCACTCCAAACAATGTTGGCCCTGCTTACACACAAACAGCAACTCTCTCTCTCTCTCTCTCTCTCTCTCTCTCTCTCGCTCTCTCTCTCTCTCTCCTCTCTCTCGCTCTCTCTCCTCTCTCACACACACACACACACACACACACACACACACACACACACACACACACACACACACACACACACACACACACACAGATAGTCTGTAAAACACACATGAGAGACAGAGAAGGATAGAATCAGCCTCGGACGGAGACCATCATCTTCTGCATGCTCGGCTGCTGCTGCCGCTGCTGATGTGTGTGTGTGGGTGTGTTAGTTCCCTTGGATGAGCACACACACGGCTGAGGATGCAGCTGGGAGCATGAGTTCTGACCGAGAGGAGTATGACACGGTCTGTCAGAAAGCTGTGACCCTAATTGTTGACCTTTGCCTGCACAACAGCTCGCTGCTGGACCCAGACACCTGTCAGGATTACCTCTTCCTGCTGTCCAGCCACAGCTCTGACCGCAAACAACTGGGTAAGTACTATAATTAACTCCTGATCTATATCGGGTGAGGGGCGGCTGCTCCCCTGTTGTGCTTTGTTCATCTCTGTCCTTTAGGTTTTCCTTAAAAAAAAAGCTAATTTCAGAATGGTTGCTTTACTTAAATATGACTGCTAAGGCATAATCTTTTCCTTGCTTGTTACCCCCTGTGTGGTCAAAGAAGACGTTGCTCAGACGGAGCTTCCACTGAACCCTAATACATCTTTAATGAGTTTTCGTGACCCCGGGGCACCAGGGAGCAATAGGTGTATAATACAAACTCACATTGACTACCCCAGTTTGCTCCAGAGAGCTTCTACCGTTAATAGATAAGCCTTCGGGCTGACTAATGCCAGCTGATGCTGTCCCGACCACTCAGCCTTACAAAGAATAAGAGACAAACCTTTGCAGAAAATGTTCGTTGTTGCTTCAGAGTGAACAACACAGAGCGGTAATGAGAGTTTAATCTGCTCTGCAAAGTTTCAACATCCTGAATTGAATTTGTATATTTATTCATGAAGTGTGATGTACACATCTGTTGCAGACTCTTGCATCTGTTGCTGTGGCACTTGAAATGGGCTTCACCCTCTTTAAAGGAATAATCCCTCTCTTGTTAATGGAGCAGCTCCACTCTCGCTCCTGCAGGCGCATGTGCTTTCATTCTTCACTGTGTGTATTGTAGTTGGGGGAAGATGTGCCGTTAAATCTGGCAAATATTGTTTCGAAGCGGAGTAATCTGGAGAATTTAGTGTTCCTGCAGAAAACATTTAGCAAGATATAACCGAAGGGGATGTGGATTTTAGCTTTATAGGTTTAGAAAGAAAAGCTTCCCAGAGCTATAAAGACTTTTAGATAACTGAGCTCATTCAATTTAGATTTAAAAACTGGATTTAGAATACCAATACATATGATTTCACACCAATAACCTGATTTTATGCATATTAGATATCCTTAACTTTTAGCTTTAACTGTTTCCTCATCCAGCACATTTTGTATTTCTCCCCCTAACATACGAGTTTGACTGAGAAATTGTTTTTTTAGCTTTGAGAGCAGGTGCACACGAAATAATAGATAATAGTTGTGGCTGCTTTGTCATGGATGGGTCCCTGTTCAGAGTGCATGTCACACCAATCCCCACCAAATCCACTGTCAGCTCACATCACTCTCAGCGGAGGAATTGAACGTACTTCACAGAGCCACTGGCATCCACCACAGAGCTGTGGGGACATTAAATGCCATTGCATGTTATGCATCTGTTGAAGTTAATTAATTCTGTCACATGGAAGCTAAAGACAAGCTGCTTCTTATAATGTTGGAGGATGTGTAGGTGGGGGGGGGGGGGGGGGGGGTGTATGAAATGTTGTTGTTCCCTGTATATGCTTTTCTTTTCTATAATTCATGGTTCCACAGAGAGCAATGTGTGGTTATAAAGAGTGCTTTTCAGACTAAAAAGGTTTTGGCTGAGGTAAGAATGTATATTTATCTTTACTAAGATGTCTTCAAAACACTCACACTAACCAAAAGTTATAATATCCCGACTACAGTAATGCAAAAAGGCTTTTTGTGATGATACATTGTTGACGTTCGTGGAGTTAGCCTCTGCCAGAAGATTTATGTTTTCATCTGAATCTTTGGTGATAGTGTCCGTACTGGTAATTGGATTGGATAAAGATCTATGAGTGCAGGCACAACATTTTTTCATAGTATCGCTTCAATACAGAGAAAAAAGTCCTAACGTCCTGTTGTTCCTTACCATTAATCTAAGAAAATTAAAAATAACACTTTTTTGAAAATGTTTCAAATTTGAGCGAAACATTTGCACCTATTCCTGTGGTTTATGTATCTTCATGAACAGGGGCGGACTGGGACTACAAATCAGCCCGGGGCTCTCGACCGGCCCACTTCGGTACCGCCGGCCCACCTCGGTACCGCAAGTAAATACCGCTAGTAAATTGTCGACAGGGGGACGGACGGGGAAGGACGGTGTTAGTGACTTATCCGACCGGCCCACCTCGGTACCGCAAGTAAATACCGCTAGTAAATTGTCGATGGGGGACGGACGGGGACGGACGGTGTTAGTGACTTATCCGACCGGCCCACCTCGTCCGACCGGCCCACTTCAGTACCGGCCAGTACGCCCCTGCTCGTGAAGATAGCCTTGCTTTAATGCAAATTAAAAGCAAATTAAGCCTTGCAGATGTAGCTGTTGTTTTCATGAGAGAACAATTCCCTCAAAAATGCCCCAGAGTGCTGTGCTCGAAGTTCAAATTATTTCTACTTTGACCTCAATTGCCACTGACCTTTCAAATCGCAACACTAAGATAACAACTGTATGAAGCAGCAAAGGCAAAAAGTGGAGGTAAACTAACTAGCTGACTTTATCGCAAAGCTTTTTTTTACCTTAGCAAAGAGCAAATCTCTTATCAGGTGAAGGCAGCTGCAGAGTGTTAGCTTAGCGTACTAGCCTTCAATATCCGAGTGCAATACAAAATTAGTAGCAGGATGTTTCCTCCCAAATGTTTAATATCGAAAAGGGAACCAGTTGTATTCATGTATTCATTTGATTCTTTATGCTTGTTCTAGGTTTGTAAATGTGATGGAGCATGGGGTGCTTTTTTAATGATGTTCTTATCTTATAACTTATAACATGAACCTGGAGCAGACGGCTAAAATCGTAAACAGTTGATAGCCAAAAAGACAAAGGACAATTCAAATATTATATTAGATATCATTTTCATAATTTTGAACTTTCAAAATCGCAAGATTTCAAAATCTCATTACTTCACTTTTCACAGTTGATGTGTTTGCGACAAACCCACTCTCCATTCCCATTACGTTACTATTTGTCTTGCTTCATTTGATCAGTGAAGTTCTTTTTAATGGCTAAGTACAAGTGAACTTGTTGCTCTTAAATATAGAGCATGCACAGACTTCAATCAAATTGTCATTTTCTTGCTACCTCATTAGCGCTGATAGATTTAATTTGCCCCCTGTGACAGCTTTAAAGAGCACATTAGCTCAGCTGTTTGAATGTATGCAGCTATCAGACACACAGAAGCAGAGTCATGTTTCTGTCTGTACTCCCCAGTGTTGTCTGAGCGTCCCCTTGCTGGTTTTCAAATCGATTACGATAAAATAGGATTGACTAATTAGAGAGTCTTCTGTTCTGATGCGGCCGGGAGATGATAATCTATTCTCTTTATTGAGCAAGTTATTGAAGTTGGCTGATTGTATTCCAATCAAAGCGGCGCCGGACACACCTGCTGTGCGTGTGAACGGCAACACTTTTTCAGGGAGATAAATAAGAGCTTGGATCAGCATCTCACACTCTGCTGAGCGAACATTTCTCACTGATCAACTGCCTGCCTCGGGTATTGATATTCACTCCCGAGCCTTGATACAGGTTACAAAACATTTCCCTTAAGCCGGTGTATCACCTGAAAAGGCTGCATGCACTTATAACCCACCTACCACCCTCTCTTGCAAACAAACACAGCACTCACCCTCATTACAAATTCCTCTTTCATTATCAGCAGCAGCTTCAGGTGTGTGGGCTTTGAATTTCTTTTTTTGCACAGCGTATTTCACGCACGCCCATCTCATCTTGAGGTTTATTAAACAAGACCTTGGCTAGCAGAGGACATTAGCATCAGCAGATCATTCATTTTAGTTCCCACTGGTATCCAATACGTGTCCGTGGTATTTGCAGAAACGGGATGGTGCATTGCAGGTTGCATTCGAACACATAAAAACAAGAACATCAAATTAACTGCACTGTGGAGATTAGAAAACCCAGGCCGAAAAACCACTGTGCCTTTCAATAATTAATACTGTCTACCGTCTTCTGTGTTTTATTGATACAACATTTCACTGTAGACCACAAAGGAACAGTGTCCGTTGCTGATAGCAGATAACACTCTGTCTGTCATGAAAATACCAAATGCCAATTCTCAAAGGACTATTATTGTATTCATTAGATTAAAAAAGACACAGCATGGGTATTTTTCTTATGGCACCCACTCAAGCAAGGAAACAGATCCAATATGCAGAATTATGTGGGTTTCTGTATTCATCTAGCCTTAATCCTTTCTTCACACCCTTACACAGGAGTGAAGGTAAACAGTTTTCTAATGTAAGAGTGCTTTCATGACACTTTGGGCCCAAATCAAACAGAGGGTCAGCGAGTCGTTTCAGATGGGAAGAGGATAATGACAGGCAAAGTGGAACACATTTTTCATTAAAGTTAATGCGCTATAGACAAAAGTCAAACAGTGGCTTGAATACCAATCAGCTGTAAGCAGTCTGTGAACAGCATTATAAACAGAAACGCCTTCATCTCTCTGTCTAAGGACCCTCTGGTGGGCAACCTCCCCCCCCCCCCCCCCGCCTACATCTTCAATTTTGAAGCTCAATAGCAACTGGGATGTCCCCGAAGGTGCCAATTTCCAGCGATATAATCTGCTCCCCAGTCGAACAGCTGTGCAACTATTGTAAATGTGAACCCATGAATAAATAATAACAATCCTTCTTCCTGTACTCAATAGTGCAGACAACATCACACTGTGCTGTAAGCTCGGTGTTGGTTATTCACAGGAAAAGTGCGTTCTCTGCAGTCTCTCCTCCAAAATGCACCAGTGTCATAAATGACAAAAGTGTAAGGAAGGGTGCGTAATGCAGAAACCTGCTGGGTGTTATAAGGGCCAGCGCACAGGGCAGGGCCTCTGCTGAGCTATTGAGCAGAAACATTGGATTATTGATTGAAGAATCAGGCCCCAAGCGAGCAGAGCGCTGAGAGCCTCTCACGGCGACGAGAGAGAAGAAATAGAGCATGAGAATTTTTTCTTTATGTTATGCCCCACTGGAGCGCAAGAATATACAACACTTTGATGCTATAACACAAGAATCAACAACTTGATACACACCATACTGCTTGTTTAGTTTCGCTACGAGTGTCGAGCTACAAGTGTCGAGCTACGTACAAGTACAACACATAT